AAAAAAAAAAAAAAAAAAACCATGCAATGCTACATTTAAAGGAAGAGCATTGCAAAGTAGAACCAATGAAGAAAGTAAGACTTAACTATGTGAGGTGAGTAGATACAGGGAGGAAGAGGCTGGGGGTTACGTAGTGAAATGAATAGGGCTAATTTGCTTACTGTCTTTTTTCACTTTTCCAGGGTATTTAAGTTAGTAATATTTGAAAGGTTGAAATTAGGGCAGTGCCTATGGCTCAAGGAGTAGGGCGCCAGCCCCATATATCAGAGGTGGTGGATTCAAACCTGGCCCCGGCCAAAAACTGCAAAAAAAGTTGAAATTAATAATTTAGAGCTATTATAAAAACACGTGGAGCATATTTCATTGTTTATCTTAATAAGCAAACAATAACCTTTTGTGATTGTATCTCAGAACTCAGCCTTTTTTTTTTTTTTTGAGACAGACTCTCACTTTGTCACTGTTGGTAGAGTGCTATGGCATCACAGCTCACAGCAAACTCAAACTCTTGGGTTTAAACAATTCTCTTGCTTCAGCCTCCCTACTAGCTGGGACTGCTGGCACCTACCACAATGCCTGGCTATATTTTTAGAGGCAGAGTCTGACTCTGGCTCACACTGGTCTCCAACTTGTGAGTTCAGACAATGCCCACGTCAGCCTCCTGAGTGCTGGGATTAGAGGCATGAGCCACCACACCTAGTGCAGAACTCAGCCTTTGTCATAGGCATTCTATGTTCTCTTCTAAACTTAATTTTAAAAATATGGGAAATTTAGAGAACAATGAAGAGAAACGAACTCATTTAATAATAGGGTTGAATGGTAGATTTCTCCCTGGTCAGAAATATCACCCCACCTGTACTCTAGGTTGAATAAAGGCTACTTTAACTGTGTGAAAAAAATAATAATAATAGGATTGAATACGGGATTAGTGGGAATAAAAGAAGATCCATAGCATGCATATGTTACAGTACATGGGATGAAAATGAATGGGAGGAAATGATGACATAAAACGTTTGGTTGGATATGAGTGTTCAATGATGACCTAAGGTAAGTACAGGTATGGAGGTCTGGATTGTTAAAAGAGAGTCTGGGCTAGAGCAGCCCTATAGAAATCCTTTAGTCATACCAGGTCGTTGTTTTTCACAGTTTGAATTTGAATGCCGAGCTCGAGGTGCAGACATCTTAGCCTACCCACCTGTCGTTGCTGGTGGTAACCGGTCTAACACTTTGCACTATGTGAAGAATAATCAGCTCATCAAGGTACAGGAAATACCTTCCAGTACTGCTCCCACTAGGTCCAGATGCTCTGTTTAAAAACTTGAGAATCCCAAGATCTCCTGACCTTCACCTTTCACAAATTAACCATTTTAAAAGCATATATTGTTTATAAAATGGTTTTGCAGACATTATGTTATTTTATCCTCACATTATCCTTATTTGATAGGAGCAGTTCTTTTTTTCATTGTCTTGAGACAGTCTCACTGAGTCGTCCTGGGGTTGAGTGCCATGGCATCATAGTTCACAGTGGCTTCAAACTCTTGGGCTCAAGAGATCCTCTTGCCTCACCCTCCCAAGTAGCTGAGACTACTGGCGCCTGCCCCAACACCTGGCTAGTTTTTTTGTTTTTAGTAAAGATGGGATCTTGCTCTTGCTCAGGCTCATCTCAAACTCCTGAGCTCAAGCAAGTGCTAAGATTACAGGCATGACCCACTGAGACAGGCCATGTTCCAAAGTAAGGGCAATTGTGTTTGAATAAGGCCCTTACTACCAACTTATACAGGATTTTTTTTTTTAAGAGACAGAGTCTCACTTTATTTCCCTCGGTAGAGTGTGGTGGCGTCACAGCTCACAGCAACCACCTCTTGGGCTTAGCCGAATCTCTTGCCTCAGCCTCCCAAGTAGCTGGGACTACAGGCTCCTGCCATAATACCCAGCTATTTTTCTGTTGCAGTTTGGCCAGGGCTGGGTTCAAACCCTCCATCCTTGGTATATGGGGCCAGCACCCTACCCACTGAGCCACAGGCACCGCCCAGGATTTTTTTATATTTCTTTTTTTATTTTTAATTCCAATAAAAACAAAGGCATATGGAACTTTTTTTTTTTTTTTTGAGACAGAGCCTCAAGCTGTCCCCCGTAGGTAGAGTGCCATGGCTTCACTGCTCACAGCAATCTCCAACTCCTAGGCTCAAGCGAGTCTCCTGCCTCAGCCTCCCAAGTAGCTGGCACCACAGGCGCTCCGCCACAACGCCCGGCTATTTTTTGGTTGCAGCCATTATTGTTGTTTGGTGGCCCGGGCTAGATTCGAACCCGCCACCTTATGTGTATGTGGCTGGCACCTTAGCCACTTGAGCCACAGGCGCCAAGCCGGCATATAGAATTTTTAAAACTTGTTATTGTTAGCTCAGCACCTGTAGCTCAAGTGGCTAAGGCACCAGCCACATTCACCAGAGCGGGCAGGTTCAAATCCAGCCCGAGCCTGCCAAACAACGACAACTACAAACAAAAAATAGCCGGGCGTTGTGGCGGGTGCCTGTAGTCCCAGCTACTTGGGAGGCTGAGGCAAGAGAATTGCTTAAGCACAGGAGTTAAGAGGTTGCTGTGAGCTATGATGCCACTGCATTCTACCCAGGGGGACAGCTTGAGGCTCTGTCTCAAAAAAAAAAATAAGTAAATAAATTGTTATTGCTAATAGTAAGATTTATGATGTGCTGATGTTTATATCTATTCATTCAAACCCAAGCTGTCTAGTTCTTTGGACACTGCAGTGTGGTCTTTCTTGAACCAATCTCAATTTCATTAAAAAGTTTAGATGCTCTTTCTTATGAGAAGGAAACAGAGATTAGTCTCCTTTAAATTAAAGCTTTCTTCTTTTAATAAAAGAAAAAGCATAGTTTAGATTAGAAGAAACAATTTACAGTTATGAGATTTTATATGAATGTACTCAATTATACCCAATTATACCCCAAGAATATGGGGAAAGGGAGGGGAGGGGGGGAGGATAGGTAGAAGGAGGGTAATTGGTGGGACCACACCTACAGTGCATCTTACAAGGGTACATGTGAAACTTACTAAATGTAGTATAATGAATGTCTTAACACAATAACTAAGAGAATGCCATGAAGGCTGTGGTAGCCAATTTGATGAAAATATTTCAAATTGTATATAAAACCAGCACATTATACCCCATGACTGCATTAATGTATACAGTGATGATTTAATTTTTTTAAAAAAGTGAATCTGAGATTATTACTCACTTTGTCTATCTTACTTTGTTCCAGGATGGAGAAATGGTACTTCTGGATGGAGGTTGTGAGTCTTCCTCCTACGTCAGTGACATCACCCGTACTTGGCCTGTCAATGGGAGGTAAGGTGTCTACAGAATAATGTATCCCACTGCTTCGTAGGAATGAGAGTTAGAATATACATGTATTTGGAAAAAATGACTCTAGAAATACACAGGTCCCCCCTAAGTCGGGTTAGCTTTCTTTGAAAAGCTCCTGATTGGGCAGCACCTGTGGCCCCATATAATGGAGGTGGCAGGTTCTGAGCCTGTTTTGTTCATCATATCACAGGATCATCTATCTAAAAACACCTAGTTAATGAACACACATAGGTATTTTTTAGAGAAAGGGTGTTGCTCTATTGGATCACTTGAAGTCAGGAGTTCAAGACCAGCCTTAGCAACATAGCAATAACCTATCTCTGTAAAAAAGAAATGTTTTTAAATTTTATTTATTTTTTTTGTAAAAATATTTTTAAATTTGGGGACGGCACCTATGGCGCAAAGGAGTAAAGCGCTGGCCCCATATGCTGGAGGTGGCAAGTTCAAACCCAGGCCCAGCCAAAAACTGCAAAAAAAAATTTTTTTTTTAAATTTGTCTTGGCTCAAGCAGCTAAGGCACCAGCCACATACACCTGAGCTGGCAGGTTCGAATCCAACCCAGGCCTGCCAAACAACAATGACGGCTGCAACCAAAAAATAGCCAGATGCTATGGCGGGCACCTATAGTCCCAGCTACTTGAGGGGTGGAGGCAGGAGAATCGCTTGAGCCCAGGTGTTGGAGGTTGCTATGAGCTGTGATGCCACGGCACTACCCAGGGTGATAGCTTGAGGCTCTGTTTCAAAAAAAAAATTTAATTTGCAAGTTTTGGCAGGTATGGTGGCTCATGCCTATAATCTTAGCACTCTGGTCTGGGAGGCAAAGGTAGGTAGATTGCTTGAACTCAGGAGTTCAAGACCAACTTGAGCCAAAGCAAGACACTTTCTCCAATAATAAATAAGCCAGGTGTTTTGGCAGGCACCTATAGTCCCCAGCTACTTGGCAGGCTGGGGCAAGAGGATTGCTTGAGCCCAAGAGTTTGAGGTGAAATGTGATGCTACCGCACTCTACTCAGAGTGACAGCTTGAGACTCTATCTCAAAAATAAAAAGGAGGGGATCGGCGCCTGTGGCTCAAGTAGCTAAGGCGCCAGCCACGTACACCCAAGGTGGTGGGTTCAAATCCAGCCTGGGCCCGTCAAACAACAATGATGGCTGCAACCAAAAAATATAGCCAGGTGTTGTGGCGGGTACCTGTGGTCCCAGCTACTTGGGAGGCTGAGGCAGGAGACTTGGTTGAGCCCAGGAGTTGAAGGTTGCTGTGAGCTGTGATGCCACAGTACTCTGCCCAGGGGGATAACTTGAGTCTCCTGTCTCAAAAAAATAATAATAATAATAAAATAAAAAATAGGACGGTGTCTGTGGCTCAAAGGAATAGGGTACCGGCCCCATATGCCAGAGGTGGTGGGTTCAAACCCAGCCCTGGCCAAAAACTGCAAAAAAAAAAATAATTAAATTATTTTAAAAAATAATAATAATAAATAAATAAATATATACATATTATATATATATATATATATCTCCAGATGAATACAAGGTTGATTTAACATTTTAAAGTCACTATAATTCATCATCCAGAATAAAGCAGAAAAATCAAATGGTAATTTCAATATTCATAGAAAAAGCATTGGACAAAATTTAACATTGTTTCATGGTCAAACAAAATATTCTTAGTGAAGTTAGAATGGAATTTCCCTAATCAAATGACGACCAGCTTTGAGAAGTTGTAAATTAGCTGGGCAAGGTGGCTCACACCTATAATCCTAGCACTCAGGATGGCAAGGCAGGTGGATCATTTGAACTCAGGAGTTTGAGACCAGCCTGAGCGAGAGCAAAGTCCAATCTCTGCTAAAAGTAGAAAAATTAGATGGGTGTTGTGGTGGGTGCTTTGTAGTCCTGGCTCCTAGGGAGGCTGAGGCAAGAGAATCGCTTGAGCCCAAGAGTTCAAGGTTGCTGTGAGCTGTGACACCATGGCAGGCACTCTACCAAGGGCAACAAAGTGAAAATCTGTCTCAAAAAAAAAAAAAAAAGAAGAAGAAGAAGAATACATATTGAACATCATCCCAGCTCACTTTTCTCTCATTTTACCCCATGATTCCTAAAGAAATTGTTATTTTAAGGACACCTAAATACTAGTAAGTTACAAATAGCCAGAGTATTGTCTCGTTTGTCCTATATATCAGAAATGCATGCCTAGGCTTTCCTTCTTTTTATTTTTATTTATTCATTCATTCATTCATTTATTTATTTAGAGACAGATTCTCACTCTGTCACGCTGGGTACAGTGCTGTGGTTTCATAGCTCACAGCAACCTCTTGGGGTCAAGAAATCCTCTTGCCTCAGTCTCCCAAGTAACAGGAGTACAGGCACCTATTACAATGCCCTGCTAGTTTTTCTGTTTTTAGAGACAGAGTCTCACTCTTACTCAAGCTGGTCTCAACTCCTACCTGCCTCAGCCTCACTAAGTGCTGGGATTATAGGCGTGAGCCACTGCACCAGACTTTTTTTTTTTTTTAATGGTAGTCTGTTGTTTTTTTGTTTTTTTGTTTTTTTTTACTTTTACATTTTCCACTGTTTCTTCACTCATGTCTCCATTTTGTGTTTCTGACAGTCCCTTTCTTTTTTTTTTTTTTGAGACAGAGCCTCAAGCTGTCCCCCTGGGTATAGTGCCATAGCATTGCAGCTCACAGCAACCTCCAGCTCCTGGGCTCAAGTGAGTCTCCTGCCTCAGCCTCCCAAGTAGCTGGGACTACAGGCGCCCGCCACAATACCTGGCTATTTTTTTTGGTTGCAGCCGTCACTGTTGTTTGGCAGGCCCAAGCTGGATTCGAACCTGCCACCTTGGGTGTATGTGGCTGGCGCCTTAGCCACTTGAGCCACAGGTGCCGAGCCTTTAATGGTAGTCTGTACTATAAGGGATTAGAAAGGTTTGAAGGTGGGCCTGGTCTGGCTCTCTGACTGCATTCATGGCTGAGTCCATCTTCTAGCTTCACCTCACATGTATCTTAACGAGAGATTGTGTTGCTGCTCCAGCTTGAAAGACTATCACTGTGCTTATTGAGCATCTAGGGCCTAATTAAGGTCCTGTTAGTAATGATATTATTACTTATTAAACATCAAAAATGTCCTATCATCATCCTTTTGGGGTTTTTCTGATCAAACTAAAAGCAAAATTCTCACAATATCAGATTATACTAAATTCAAGTTCTGGCCGAGCGCAGTGGCTAACATATGTAATCCTAGCATTCTGGGAGGCTGATACAGGTAGATTGCCTGCATTCAGGAGTTTGGGACCAGCCTGAGCAAGAGCAAGACCCCCTTTCTACTAAAAATAGAAAAACTAGCTGTGAATTGTGGCCGGAACCTGTGGTCCGAGCTACTTAGAGGGCTGGGGCAAGAGGATCACTTGACCCCAAGAGTATGAGGTTGCTGTGAGCTGTGACACCACAGTGTTCTACCCAGGACAACTGTGTAAGACTCTGTCTCGAAAAAAAGAATAAATAAATAAATTTAAGTTCTTTGGGTTTTCTGTCCCCAGGTTCACTGCACCGCAGGCAGAACTCTATGAAGCTGTTCTAGAGATTCAGAAAGCTTGCCTGACCCTCTGCTCCCCTGGGACAAGCTTGGACAACATATACAGCATGATGCTGAAACTGATAGGACAGAAGCTTAAAGAATTAGGGATCATGAAGAATGTTAAAGAAAATAATGGCTTCAAGGTACTACACTTCTCTTGACCCCAGTACACAAGATCACCAAACATGCTGCTAGGTTTTTACCCTATATAAAGCTATTCAGTTTAGGTAATGGCCCTTATGATTTGTCATTTGTAAGAGGGGCTGAGCCTTTAACGAGGGTTAAAACAAAAGAAGTCAGTACTGATTTCTCCCAGAAGATGGCAGTACATTCTGATTCACTGCATACCGCATTACTAGCTCAATATTCAGAAAACATAAAATGACAGGATGGAAAAGGACAAAAATGAGAAGTTAACTCTTAATCCTTTTGTGATGATTCTGGAGGTTGAAGGGGAGGATATTAGTTGCTTCAGTAACATTGTTGAAACTTGAAAAGTATGACCTTTAGTATCACTGAAGATGTGATTTTTCTTCTGTATCCAAAGTATAATTGTTCAATAAAAATGTAAAACCTCAACTTAGAAATTAAGATGCTAGGTGGTCGAGTTGAACGAACCATTGAGCATCTCCCACCTCTAAGTTCAGGCTGCCAGAATTTCTATTATCAATAAAAAAGAAGTATAAGCCAAGTATAGTGCCACACACCTGTAATCCCTGCACTGTGGGACACTGAGGTAGAAAGATCTCTGGGGACAGCACCTGTGGCTCAAAGGAGTAGGGCGCCAGCCCCATATGCCAGCGGTGGCGGGTTCAAACCCAGCCCCTGCCAAAAACTTCAAAAAAAAAGAAAGAAAGAAAGATCTCAGGAGATCCAGACCAGCCTGAGCAACATAGCAAGAACCTATCTCCACAAAATAAATAAATAAATAAATAAATCTAGGCTCAGGGCCCATAGCTCAGTGGTTAGGGCACCAGCCACATACACCAGGGCTGGTGGGTTCAAACCCAGCCTGGGCTTACTAAACAAAAAAATAGCTAGGCATTGTGGCAGGCACCTGTAATCCCAGCTACTTGGGAGGCTGAGGCAAAAGAATCACTTAAGCCCAAGAGTTTGAGGTTGTGGTGATCTGTGATGCCACAGCACTCTACTGAGGGCAACATAGTGAGACTCTGTCTTAAAAAAAAAAAAAAGAAAAGGCTCGGCGCCTGTGGCTCAAATGGCTAAGGCGCCAGCCACATACACCTAAGATGGCGGGTTCGAATCCAGCCCCAGCCTGCCAAACAACAATAATGGCTGCAACAAAAAAATAGCTGGGCATTATATGCTTGTGGTCCCAGCTACTTGGGAGGCGGAGGCAGGAGACTCACTTGAGCCCAGGAGTTGGAGGTTGCTGTGAGCTATGATGCCATGGCATTCTACTCAGGGGGACAGCTTGAGGCTCTGTCTAAAAAAAAACAAGAAAAAATATCCAGGCATGGTGGCACATGCCTATAGTCCCAGCCACTTGGGAGGCTGAGGCAGGAAGCTCACCTTCCTGCCCTGGCGTTTGAGGTTTCATTGAGCTAAGCTGATTCTAGCCTTGGCTATAGTCTCAAAAAACAAACAAACAAAAAAAAAAAGGAAGAAGTTATATGTTTCCTGTTGCTCAGGATGATAAATCTTCAATTAACTGACATCAGTATCCAAGCTGGTAAATGCCCACTAATTATGCCTACTCTACAAGTTGCTGTGAAATACTTAGGGCATCCAGAATAGGCTTCCTGCAAAGTATATGTGAACACTGAAAAAAGAACTATTCCAGCTCGGCGCCTGTGGCTCAAGCAGCTGGGGTGCCAGCCACATGCACCTAAGGTGGCGGGTTCGAGTCCCCAGCCCAGGCCCGCCAAACAACAATGATGGCTGCAACCAAAAAAAAAGTGGCCGGGCCTTGTGGCGGGTGCCTGTGGTCCCAGCTGCTTGGGAGGC